CTGTCGATGTGCTTGCCATCAAAGTGTAAAGATCAACTTTTATAACTTTTTTAACTACATATACAACTTTTCAATCATTTCTTCCTTCAGCTTGATTGCCTTTTTTATTGTTGACTTATAAATAACTGATTGATAAGGAGTTGTGATGTCAATGCCTTCATGAACCAATTGCTTGCATATGTTAGCAGCTTGGTTTGTATGATACTCTTGTGGAGGTCACCAAGTTGACTGTAATTTTGCTTTTATGATGTTTTCTGCTTGATTTTTTTTTGGAATTGTCTCATCTTCTTCATTGTTTTCATATTCACTGTCGTCAGCCTGTCAGAATCACTAAAACCAGGATAGTAAGATGATGAGTTGAACGACTCATTAAAAAGTTTTTGTCTTTGAGAGGGATGGATCGTTTCTTTACTGGCCGCTTTGCCTGTAGAGTAGTATCCCACTGTTCTTTTGCTTTCCACTTGGAGGTAGAACAATCGCTTGTCCTCGGAAAATAACCATGTTCCATCCACTTTAGTAATATCAAAAATTTCATCCCTGGGTTCGTAGCTTCCCCGCTTGACACATTCATCATAACATTTCAGTATTTTATCAAGTTTTGCTCGTTTATTCTTCCACAATTTGGTGACTTCTTTGGAAATTTCTGCTATTCGCTCCTTTCTTTCTTTGATTTTCGGTACAAGGAAATGGTGGCGTCCGATAATTTACTTTTAGAGAGGCATTCTGCACTTTTCTACCAGTGAATATTCTTCCAAAGGGACCATTCTTCTACTTTTATGAGAGTCTTCAAATTTTACCAGATTATTGGTCCAGACATCCTTGTTCTTCAGAATGCTACTATCTCTAGACTTGTACGGCGCCATGTGCTTCTGTAATAACTATAAAATTAGATGAGCAGCTATAAACAGTTTAAAATGTTCTGGAATATTCCAGAATGTTCTATATTGTTCCAGTATGTTTTGAATTGTTCTAGAATGTTTTAAAGTCTTCTAAAGTATTCTGTTATATTCTAAAATGTTCTAAAGTTCTAAACACTTCTAATCTATACAAGTTTTAATTGATTTGCAGGAAAGCCACACCTATTATTAGTAGCAGTAACAAGATTAAATAAATGACGAAACGTTATTGGAATTACAGGGTAATTCAAATAACATTATATATATATTATATATATAACGTTATATATATATTATATATAACGTTATATATATATTATATATATATATATATATATATATATATATATATATATATATATATATATATATATATATATATATATATATATATATATAAGTTCCTTTACATTTTATTGTATTTTCAAGTATTATACTTTTACATTTTATTTACTAGACAAATGAAGATGTTTTAATGAACCTACTGGAGTTAGCAACTCATGGTTTTAACCTGGGTACAAAAGACGGAAAAACATGGGACAGCTATGTGGTAACTCTTTCAAATGCTAGCTTTCATCGAATTTGATTGTGATGTCGCTAATGCATCGAAATAGATTTTCATTCGTTAAAGAAGGAAAAATAAAAATAAATTTTGAAAACCTTTTTGATTATTTATAAACGAAAATATTTTTTGTTATATGACATTTTGTTTTGATATTTGTTTGGATATCAAGGTGCAGGTTGGCATATCTGGGTGCTTGATTCATATTTTAAGTGCTAAGTTTAAATGTTTGGCTATATGCACTTGTACAACTATATTTTTACTTAATTTTTCATTTCTTCAGTAATTTAAACTTTAATATTTCATATGTTATATATCTATTTCATGCATGTTTATGTTTGATATACCATATAAATATGTATTGTTACGGTTATATATTTTAAATATTCTATTCATAAGTCAGAGATGGTAAAAAAAATATTTCAGTTTTAATATTTAATTATATCTTTTAAAAAGTTGTATTTAATGCACATTTTTTGTTTTGTGCAATTTTTAATGTCTTAAAACTTTTAACAATAGACATCAGTTTTTTATTTGTTCGTTTTCTTAAGTTTAAAAACTTTATAGATATAATTGAATCGGTGAATGTTAAAAGGGCGGAAGTGCAAAAATATAAACTTTTGGGAAACTAAAAAAAACTGCATTTTCCATCGTAGTAATTTTTTTTGAAGAGGAAAAAACCTTCAAAAAAAAATATTTGTAGAACCATTACCAAAAATTTATTACGAGGGAAAATACAGTTTTTTTAGTTTCCCAAAAGTTTACATTATTGGACTTCCGCCCTTTTAATCTTCACCGATTCAATTATCTATGAAGTTTTTCGAAAATGATTTTAACAGTTCTAACAATGCTGTTTTAAAAGAAGCAAAACAAAAAAAAAATATTTAAAAAAATTCAAAAATATGGCAAAATAAATTTGTAAAAAATATTTTAGTTTTCTCCATTTACCATTTATCTTAAAATTATTAAAAATTACAAAAGAAGAAAATGTTAAATAAAATTACTTTGCAAAAGTATTTGGAAAATCCTAAGAGAAACTATGATTTAATAGCAAAAGAGTTGCAAATATATCCCTTAACTGTTAGTCGTGCTATTTCAACATTTTTCTTAAATAAAATTGATCAAAAGCAAACTGATTGTAATAAAAGATGATTTTTCAAAATATAAAATGCGTTAATAGTTGTAAGATCCAAGCCTCTCACTAAGGAAATGTATTAAATGAAATTTTCTCTTAGTTCAGTTTGAAATAGATTTCTTTTAAATCAAAAAAATTGACCAATCGTTCTTAAACTTTGAAAAAATAAAAATAAATAAAAGTTCTCTCTGCAGAAAGTTGTGTGTGTGACTATTCAAGTTTTCCAAAAAAAATTTAAAGTACAATAATTAGATAGAATTTTAAATCCTCTTTAAAATGGTACCAAATATGTTAATTTATGATAAGTAGAAAAAGAGTTATGGAATTTAAAACCATTGAAAATGATGACAAAAATGTAGTAGTAGTAGTAGTAGTAGTAGTAGTAGTAGTAGTAGTAGTAGTAGTAGTAGTAGTAGTAGTAGTAGTAGAGAATTTGCTGCAATAGGTTTCCCTGTATAACCTACAGGTTTTGGCAGCCTTATCTACTTCATACACTAATTTTATTCGTATCAATTTATAAAAATTTACAATAAGACATAGTATGAAGTATAAGTTTATACGTTTATTGTTTTTCCTTTTTTTTTTTTTTTTTTTTTTTTAGTTATGATCTCGATAATTATGCGGATTATTTGAAATTTCTGCATCAAGCTGAACCTTGAAACTGTTAACTGATGAAGCGCATACAACTTCTGACGGCAATGCATTCCAATGATTCACTATTCGATTAGTAAAAAACTGGTGCCTTTGCTCGCAATTTTGAACATATTCTCTAGTCATTTTTAGATGATGTCCTCTAGTTTTTATTTTATCTGACTCTCCAACACGAAGGACATGTGGTTCACTCCATGAGACAATGTCTATATTGTTAATAATTTTATAAGCCTGTCTCTGATCTCCTCTAATGCGACGGATTTCTAAAGACGTTAAGTTCAGTATATTCAGACGATCTTTTATGACATATGAGGGTATGAAGGTACTAAACGGGTAGCTCTTCTTTGCACTCTCTCGATTTTGTCAATATCTGTTCTTGATGATGGATTGCTGGCTGCTACCGCAAATTCCAAATGAATTCGTACAAAGGTTGTATATAGAAATTTAAGTATTTGCGGAGTCATGTGACTGAAAGTACGATACAACATGCCTAATACACGGTTAGCATTATTGGTGGCAAAAGTTGAATTGTTATGACATTTTAAGTCTGCGTAATCATGATGCCTAAATCACGTTCGACTAAAGTCGATGCTAGTTTGACACTGCTATTGTTATTAGCTGGCATTGAGTAGACATAAAAGTTGTTTTTTTTTACCTATATGCATGATTTTACATTTATCGAGATTAAGTTTCATTTTCCAGGTTTTACACCAATCGGCTGTTGTAGATATCAGTTTGAAGCATTTGCTGAAGCTAATGGGTGGTCTAAACGGGCCAGCAGTTTAATGTCATTAGCATACATTTTACATGGATGGTTAACAATATCGGATATATCGTTCACAAAAATGATAAAAAGTATTGAACCTAATAAAGATCCTTGAGGGACGCCACTAAACACCTCAAGCCACAAGGAAACATAATCACCCATCACGAATTGTTCAAAACGCTGGTGTAAAAACAATTTTATCCAATTCAGGAGATTTCCAGTAAAACCATATGCCTCAAGTTTATAAATTAGTCTCTTGTGGGGAACCATATCGAATGCTTTACTGAAATCTATAAAAGCTACGTCCATAGATATCTTGTCAGATAATGCTTTTGATATCATGTCAATCGACTCCGACAAATTAGTCACACAAGCTTTTTTATTGACAAAACCATGTTGATTTTTTTGAAATAAGGCTATGTTCGTCTAAATGATTGACCATGGTATCACGTAATATTTTCTCCACCACTTTACATACAACTGATGTTAAGTATATAGGCCGGTAATTACTTGCATCGAGTCTACTCCCGTTTTTAAACAGCGGTGTTACATTAGCTTTTTTCCATACTTTAGGACAACACCCACTATCTAGCGACTTCTAAAAGATGGCGCTTAAAGGTATTGAGAAGCTGCCAGAACAGTTCTTGTATATGAAAATGCAGGCATTTTCTGTGATCAAAATTTTTAAAACTTTTATAAATTTACAAATTAGGAGCAATAACAATACTTTTAACTTAAAATGCAAGTATTCAACGAGTTATCCATAAATTATTCCTAAGCAAGGCAAAGCAAGTGAGCCAGGAGATGGGGGTGGGGGGAAGATGAAGGATAGGGAAGAGGGAGTAAAAAAATTAAAAAAAAATAAATTAATAATTTCTGATAACTCAATGCGGGAGTAAAATTAAATAACTAAGGAGAAGGAGTAGGATATGCAGACCCCCCTATCCTATCAAATAGAAGGAAGGGGGATTGACAAAAAAAATTTGACGTGAAAAATTTATTTTTGGAAATAAATAAAGACCTAATAAAATAGTAGCTCGTATAAAATAAATATTTTATGTTAAATACAAATTAACAAGTCAGTAAAAAACCAAATCTTCTAAAACAATATATCTGTCAAGATAATATTCAAATTGAATTTAGAATCTTCTGCCTTTTCCTCTAGTTCATTTATTTTCAAATAAGCAACCAAAAAAGTACTTAATTTATCTGAGGTATTCTTTGGACAAGACACTTTTAGAGTTTTACCTCTAAAAAAAACATCGGAATTATATAAATAGACATATTCCAGACATGATCAATTTCCATACCTTCGAGTGACTTAAGATTTTCTTCAAAAAACTTGTGTAACATCTGTCGTTGGTGTCCAGTTACAGAATCAAAAATTTTATCATTTGCCGTCAAGCCTTCCTTTAAACCCTGTTTTATTTCCTTGCCTAATTTATTTCTGCCTTTCATGTCTCTTTTCTGCCCTTTTTCTATAATTCTTTCAATCAAGACCTTTTCATTTCTCAGTTGTCTTTCTTTACCAGTTTGTCTTGACTAAACACCCATTTTAATGCAAAAAGAGACTAGCTTTTCTCTCTCCTCAAAAGTTTTAGTGAGAAGCCAATCCACAGAGTGGTTAGCCTTAAATTTAGACATACTGTCAATAAAAGTTATCTCTGCATTTGGTGCTCTTTTTACCAAAGAATCTACTTTGCCAAGAGCTCTCTCTACCCATATATTATAAAGGGGTGCACTTGTAGCTTGTAGTTTCAATTCATTTGATGGATTGGCTAAAGGACCAGTTAAATAGCGTGATAACTGGCGAGACATGACTGCTAAGGATGACTTAGACAAAAGTTCAATACATATACTGAGGTTATCTAACATGCTGCCATTTTTTATACATAGCGACTTGAGGGTGTTGTCTTCCAGCAAAGGGCGACCAAATGCATCAGATTGAATTGTGAGGAAAAGACTTGGGTCCCCCTCAGCACGTTTCACAAAATCCAAAGCAACTTTGAGATAAGCAACCTGAAACAATAAGCAAAATAAATGTAAAATAAATAATAAAAAAAATTATTTTAAATGTAATAAAAAAAAATTTCTAATAAGTCATTCTCATATATACCATGTCAAAGTGATTCCGCTTGGTTTCCTCTGAATAGAAAATGGCCATCCATGGTCCAGTCAAGTTTTCCTAAGAGACCAAGTGCTTGAAAATGGATGCAGATTAAGGGATTTTTTAAATCTTCTAATACAGATGTCGTGAGAGATGTTTGATTATTGCAAAACTTCTCTAGGTAGTTTATCAAAAAATCTTTATATAAAATCACAATCCCAGCCATATGGAAAATGATACGAAGTCTATTTCCAATATAACGAGGAAAAATCCCACAGGACAGTTTTTGACCCTTCAAGAAGAGCTTAAAGCCAGATGGATCCCCTTTCTCTTTGTATCTGAAGGTATATATATATATATATATATATATATATATATATATATATATATATATATATATATATATATATATATATATATATATATATATATATATATATATATATATATATATATATATACATATATATATATATATATATATATATATATATATATATATATATATATATATATATATATATATATATATATATATATATATATATAGAAATTTTAATAATTGAAGCATATATTATATTTTTCCATATATTATATTTTTCTAAAAAAAATTATAAAAATGTACGAACTTGTATGAACTTAACTGTAACTTACCTTAACTTTGAAATGCTATGGAGAAGGTTAGTTACTCAACAGTCACGTCCAAAGGTTGTACTAGCAATAAACAAGTTAAACCTTTTGAGTTCTTTCCTTACCTCATTAGCAATGCCATCAAGTGGGTGCAGATGACAGTGCAGCTCCAGCAACTGCCAGTCCAGAATGTCATTAAATTTAACGATTGGTGCAATTAAAATTAATGATCAAATGCAAGAGTTATCGAATGCAAGAGTTGAGTCAGGGCATCGAATGCAAGAGTTGAGTCAGGGCATCGAATGCAAGAGTTAAGCATAATTCAAAACTATTTTTACTGTTTTTTACTTTTGAGGCGAAACTTGGACCCGTATTAACAAACACATTATTGAAAGAATTAAATATTAAAGAGTCATTAGTAATATCACGATTATTTATAATGATTGTTTTTGGGAAATCCTTTAATGCTGATGCTTTTTTTACCCAGCATATCATTGATTAGGTGCCACATTTTTTTGTACATCAATTTTGCAGTTAAGTAAAAAATTAGTATAAAACTGTCTTTTTGAATACTTTATAACTTTTTAAAAGAGCCATTTGTAATTTTCATAATTTGTTTCGTTTTCATAAGTTCTTTTTTTAATAAAATTTTCGTATAAGCGTTGCTTTTTTTGATGACTTTATTATTCCCGTTGTTATCCAAGGATTTTGCTGGGATTTGATTTTGATAATTTTATTAATAATTGGGAAAGCTTTATTATAATGGTTTTGAAATATACTAAATATGTATACTATCATAAGCTTCCTCTGCATTTTTAATTTTCAAAATAGTTTCAGAATTTGTTTTGGATAAAAGATTGATAAAATTACTACTAGATGAACCATTGATTATTTGGTTTTTAATTTTATTTTTTCCTGAAACTTTATTGGTGTTTTTTTGTGAAATTATAAACATTGGAAAGTGGTCTGAAATGTCAGTGACAAATATCCCAGTATTAATTTTTATGTTTTTGAAATTGTTTATTAAGATTTAATTAAATAATGTAGCACTATTTTTATGCGTGTTGTTTTGTTAATTGTTGGAATGAAACCATTTTTAAATATAATGTTGGTAACATTTCTGACGCTTTAATTTTTTTTATAATCAAACGAGTTTAAATTGTGTTCGCCCACAAAATAATTTAGTTTGCAACAAATATCATTTTTTGTAATTAAACATTTAAAGTTCTTTGTTAAACGCTTTTATATTACCTAATGGAGGTCTATGTATGACGTGGAAAATGATGTTTTGCTGGTGTTGTTCAATACCTCAATGGTTAATAAATCATTATCTTTTGTTATTGAGCACAATTCATTACGAAGTTTAAAATCAAAGGAATGAACTCTTATCCTCCTGCTATTTCAGATCTTCTTATTTGATGGGTAACTTTATAATTATTAATTTGAAAGTTAGAGTTATTTTCAATTTCTTTATTTTTGCACCATGTTACTGTTAGGCATAAAATTTGAAAATTTATTTTGACTCTAAATAAAAATTTCTTAAGTTGATCAAAATTTTTTTTGTATACTTCTTATTTTTATTTATCATCTTATCATATTATCATCTTTCTTAGTAGTTAGTGTTGAAACTTTTGAACTGTAATAATAAGAGCTAATTTTTTCTATTCCTTACCCATCCTTGTAAAAGGTAATATTTGATTCAGGATTGTTTTCTAAACGTATATTTTTGTTTATTAGAAAAGCTATAACTTTATTTATATTATTATTTTGGTTGTGCATTTTTAGTATTAAAATTAGTCCTCAAAGCTGTTTTCTTATAGTTTCAGCGCAGTAGTCTTCATTTATACAAATATTTTTCCCTTATAAATTTGTCGCTTGTTTTAAATGTTTTCTTTGTCTTAATAGCGTAGTAGTTTAACAACGGTAGTTCGAATTTTATGTGTGCTTTTAAGTCCAGTTCTGTGAGCCTTTTCAATTTATATATATTTTTAAACCAAGTATATCTTCAAATATTTTCTGTACCTTGGATTCAGTGACACTTCAATTTTCGTTTAAGTTTTCCTTTATACCTTCCATACATAGGTTGTTCCTTCGTGAGCGATCTTCAATTCCTTAAAGTTTACTTTTAATTTTAAGTATTTTATTATTATCTTTCATTTTAATGCTTAACTTTTTTTCTTTACAACTTCAAATTTATCCGTAATAATCTTTTCGTTAGTTTGAATAGCTTTAATAATATCGCTGCAATAAGCTGCATGAGACATAACTTTTTTATTTGTTGTTTCTGATTCAATTGCGATTTTATTGATTTTAGTTGAGTTTTTGCTACCAACTTTTTCATTCTTTTCTAACCGTTCAGTAAGATCTTTTAATAGCTTTCTTGTTTCTTTGAGAATATAATTTTTTTGTTTTTAGATTAACTCAGAAACTATCTTCATATCCATTTATAATTTTTAAAAGTTTATGAATTTATTAATTTTTTTTTTGCTTGCTGTAAAAATGCGTCCGTTTACCACAAAATATTAACCCTAAACCTAGCCCGTAACATCACAGAAAAATAACCCTAACCCTAACCTTAGCTCGAATATTGCACATAATTTTTATTTGCAAAAAAATAGACAGAACGCCTGCTCATCACAAAAAAAGTTTTAATCGAAAATAACATTTTTAACTTCTTCAATTCATTTGTAAGTCGAAAACTCAAGGATTTATCCAATATCACATAAAGTAAAAACACTATCGAAGCAGTTAAACAATTCTACCTTTATTGTTTCAATACATGTTTCACAATTTTTATTTTTTTTATAATTTAATGTTATTCTAATTGTTAATAATACTCTTCAAGAAAGAATATATAATCTACTCAATATAAGGAGTAAATGTAAATTTGTTTTTATTTTTTAAAACTACCGAAAAATTAGTTTTTTGATTACAGAATCAACAAATCCTTTGATGTCAACAGGTAAGTATATAGTAAAACACCATTAATTAAGAATGACAGCTGATAACCATAAAAGAATGCTTTGACATTATCTAAAGCAAATAGATGCCTATCACCTTGTAAGTTTCAATTTACAAGGTGATAGGCAAGAATTTGATAGAATTCTATGTAAATTGAAAAAAACAGCCAATCTTTTTTATATTTATCTGTTAATACATATGTATAAGTAAATACACAGAACAAATTTTATACAAACTTATATAAATTTATATATTTTTAACAACTTTTTACCTAAAAAATTGATCGAATTTTTAAACTGAAGTCACAAGTTAAAAAAGTGTATTTTTTTTTAAATAAATTGAAGTACTGTGATAATATTATTGCCAGTTAAAACTACAATACCAAAAGTTTTTTTTAACTTTGATAATAAGGTAAAAACTTTTTGTCGTTATTTTTATTTGAAAAAACATTAGATTTAATTTTATAAATTTGTTTGGCCCAGTTCAATCAAATTCACAACTTTGATAAAAATTTTTTGTTGATTGTAATCAATTTTAAATTAATTTTAATTAAGATGATATGAAAGCCAAAGAAAATTTTTTTTTTCATTTTTGAAAAAATTTAAGTTGAAAGCCTAAATATTTTGTGAGATAAAACGATAACATGTTGTGTTTTTTTGGACAAAGTTTTCCAATCCTGAAATTTTCAAATTTTGGTGTTAGTGAATATGCGGTTAATAATTTAATTAATTTATGTGTAAATAAATTCTGAAAGTTTTGTATTAACAAAAAAAAAAAAGAAAAAAAAAAATTACTTAAGATGACTTTTATCCTCTTAGAATTATTACCAAATTATTTTTCAATAATATGGTTGTAAATTATATCGTAATGACAGGTGAAGTTCATATTTATAAACATAAAAAACAACATTTATATTATTAATTAACAAAAAATTGTATTATTTTAGTAAAGAGTACAATCATATATTTTTTAGGCAAAAACTAAAATATATTTGTATTAGGTCAAATATTGAATAAGAACACATATTTCAATAATTTCATAATGTGGGTTGCGTCTTGCGATGCAATTGTTGTGTTTTATAATACTGTAGTCAAATTTACTTTATTAGCAAAATTAAAATGCAAATCATATAATTATATATATATATATATATATATATATATATATATATATATATATATATATATATATATATATATATATATATATATATATATATATATATATATATATATATATAGTATATATATATAGAGTATTTATTCTTTTGTTGCTTGATCTTTTGTTTCAGTAGATATGCATTGGAAGGCGTCAGTATTGTAATAAACATTTTTTTCATCGATATTCATGTCAACATAAAAGCTGCCATCCGATAAAATTTGATCAAAAAACTCACGTAACTCTGTAAACGTGGGTCGCTGTGATGGATCTTGATTCCAACAGTGCAACATTACGTCATACCTAAAATTAAAAAATGCAGACAGTAAATTAAAATACACTAGAAGTTATTTTATTACCTTCCTAGCATTGCTAGGAAGGTAATAAAATAAGACAGGCCGAGTAAACGTTTGGCTTTAAAAAAACTGTTGGCGATTTTTTTCTTTTGATAAATTTCAAAAAAAAATTTGTAATATATCGCATTCCAAAAAAGAATTTAATATGCGATAAGTTTTAATTTTATGTATATTAATTTTGTCTTCTTTTTAGGGCTAAATAATTACACTTAATAAAAATGGGTTTTAAGTGTTTTGTCACAAGATGCAAATGCAACTACGACGTTAAAAGTCTGTTTAAGTTTTTCACCTCTCAAATTGATAAAACGTGAATGAACATAAAATATTATTCCAGATAGCTGAAATATTTTTATTTATGAAAATCTGAATTATGAATAGGTGAAATATTTTTATTTATGAAAATGTCTGGCCTAAAGTCTAATTCAATTTCTGACTCAACAGATACCACAAACACAAACTAATCATTGCCATCTTTAAGAAGTACCTTACCGTACCTGATGAAATGAAGGCTTTTGGTAAAGCGGACAATATTTTATCCTTCGATGTTTTGTGTAGTAAAATAATATCTAAAATTATCTTTTTCTTTTTCAATAATATCAAATAACTCTGTAAACTGTTTACATCTTCAATCTGCTGATATATTGGACAACTTGGATGTTCCAAAGTTTATTTTGAAAATAAAAAATGATTTATTTTTTAATAGATATCAATGATATGAATATTATTTACAGTATTAGTTGATTATCTGAATTCTTTATTAATTGAACACAAGAAAAGTATTATTCTTGAAAAAATGTTAAGAATGAACTTCTTAATGTTTATTGCTGAGAAAAAATATTCTCGTGATATGGTAACCAAAGCATTTGAATACTTTTAATAGTTAAGTACTCTTTATTCTCGATTACAAAATGACTACGAACTACCAAATCACTGATGACAAAACTAACAGATGATTTTTTAAAGATAACTAGAGATAAAAATTGTGCTGTTTTTTCATTGAACAATGATAAACAATTCAAATTTCTTAAAAGTTTGAACGATATGATCAAAAATATGCCACATGAAAAAAACAAAATATATATCTTGTTCTTTTTCTCATCCCTGTTGTGAAATGGTTGACCAAGTAAAACATTTGCTAATTAGAAGTCATAAGTTTGCTATTGACATTTTACGCGGACCTCTAGAGCAAGCATTTGGAAAACTTCGACAAGGATTAGGTCGTAACTGTTTTATAAACGGTCAGTAAATATTACAAAAAGTTGACATAAAACAAAACTCTGTTAGAATATTGGTATCACTGCAAATAGTTTGGAAATTTTATCGAATCAATTGTTTGACAAGTGTAATTATGTAATGCAAGAAAAATTTTTAATATACTCTTTTTATACAGTTGTAATACTGTGAAGAATACGTCAGAGAGATTATGAAGAATACGTGAGAGAGATTAACTATGGTGGTTTAAGTTTGCATAGAGATAACATCTGCAATTAGATATTTTATTTCATCATCTATACACATTTGTCTGTTGTATTAGTTAATCTAACAACTTTTTGATCGTATAGTATAATATCATACTATATAATACGATCGTATATTATAGTATTATATGGTAACTGTAGTTTTATTTTTAAAGATTACTTTTTTCATAAAATTTTTACTGTATTTTATCTAATCAAATATGTTTTTTTTAAAGTTTTTTTGTATTTTATATACATTTTTTTTATTCATTTCTTAGTTTTAAAAATACTTTTTTTATTGTAAGTTAGTTACTATCAAAATAACTCAATATTCATTTATAACAAAAATAAAAAAACAAATGCTTCTATAATTTTTTTTTTAAAGCCATACGTTTACTCGGCTCAGTCACTTTTGTAGACCATGCCTATATAATGACAGACCGACAGTATTTTTAATTTGAATTTAATTTTTTAAGTTATCTCAGATTAAAAATGCTATCAAATCAAAAACATAATTTGTTTAACTATTAGAACACTCGTGCTTTTTAGCTTACAGTGCCATCTAAGTAAGTACTTTACCTGAAAACATTGTCAGTTTATTTTATACATTTATGTTTTTATTCCATTACATTATATCATATTTTATTTTATTATTTAACAATATAATAACTAGAATATTATTTGAAAAAACGAACAAAACAAAACAAAGAAAAAAAAGCAGTTAGAAAATTAGCTTATGTTTTAAGTAATAATTGCAATATCAAAGAGCGTTTTTTTAAATCAATTTTAATTTAATTTTTCCGTATTCATCACTATGGTAGAACACAATACAGAAATTTTAAACCTCTGGTTGCACAGGATTTTGCATATAAAAATATATAAACAAACAAAAGTTTGCGAAGTAATAGTAACTAATAATAACTAATACAAAAGTTGAAGCTAACAGAATTAATTACAGAAAAATTAATATCAACTAATATAGATAAAAATTAAAGTTAACAGAAAAAATTAAAGAACAAGTAAATTACATTTGTTCAGAACAGTTTTCAGGGCGATTCATTCTGTAACCAGACTTTAAAAGTGTAAGAAGTTCACTGTTGGGAATGGTAGGATATGGTGTTCCTCCTTTAAAAAAATAAATAATGAAAATAATAATAACATTTATACATATAATAGATGTTTTATAAGTTTGTTAATAATTTAATAAAACATTATTAAACAAATTTATTAGGCAAATTAGAGATTAAAATTTATTTTCACTTACCTAAAGTAACAATCTCAAATAAAACGACACCGTATGACCACCTAAAACAGTTTATCAAACTTTTGAAAACTATTAAAATACAATTTGTAAATATGATCACATTTTAAATGCATTAATAAAAATCAGTATATTAAAAATAAACTTTATTTATTATTATTTTTTTTTATGTTAAATCACCGTAATTCAAGGCTGAGAAGACCGCTACAGATGAGGAGGCTACTTAATTGTAGTTATAACCCTTTTTTAACGCTATAACTTTGAAACACGAACCTTGACGAACAAGACCGCTGCTCGGTGAAAAAAATTGAGCGCTTTACTACCAGGGCTTATGAAGCAAGCGCTCTACTACTACTGCATAAAAAAAGTATATTAAAAATTTACACATCACTGCATGAAGTAAAGGTATGGTCAAATATTGCTTCAATTGACATCCACTTGATTGGTAAACGACGGGTCTTGCTACCAATATAGGCATGATTATTAACTTTCCGTGTCAAACCGAAATCAGATATTTTAAGATTTTTGTTTGCACCGACCAATACATTTCGTGCGGCAAGGTCTCGATGTATGAGTTTTATACAAGAGAGATATTCCTAAAATAAAAAAAAGTAAAAGTAAATACAACTATGATACTATAAATAAGCAAAACAAAACATTCTAGTGAAAAAAAAATCACGCTAGAATAATAAATTACAATATAAATCGACATAAACGAAAAAAGTAGCACACTTATACCATTCCAGATGCTATTTGCCATGCAAAACGTAGCAAATCATTAGGTGTTAGCAAGTCAATTTCCATTAGCTGAAACTCGTTTTTTGTTTTTTCTTTTACCTTTATAGATAAATTTAATTAGAAAAAAAAATTATTTAATAACTGAAAATGTAGAAAAACAAAACAAAACAAAACAAAAAACACTTTTATCAAAATAATAAAATAAAATTTTTTAACCAAATAACAAAAATTAAAAAAACAAAAATAAAAATCGGAAAAAAAGTAAAAAACCTCAAGATTATCTTGAAACTCTGAAGTGTAAATAAAACTAGAATGTTCCCCATCTTTCTTTGACATCTATAAATAACGTGATTCATATTGTTAATAAAACGTTGCTATCAGATTCAAATAATTTTTTTTTAATTCTATGTATTTTTTTTTAGTTCTATCGTAGTTTCTATATATAAAATATTTAATAATTAAAAGTATGAAATCTGAATTAGTAATACAAAAAGGTTATAGCTCACAGAGAATAAGTAATACAAAAGTGATGTAGCTCACAGAGATTTGGTATAAGTAACGGTTACATACCAAATTGCTGTAAGCCATGCCGCTGCAAAGATCAATATCATAAGCTTCAAAAGCTTGGGGTAAAAGAGTATTAAGTTTATACAGTATAAAAATCTAGAACATTCAAGAATCTTCTCAGTAATGATCATGTTTTAGCAGATAGAGATATTATTACAGATTCTTTTGACTTGTTACATTATGCCAAACTACTTTTAAAAGCTATTTATGAACCCAACTTTTACATTGCCCACGTTTGAACACATGTTGAATGCTTAATTGGGTTCTTGAGAAATAAGTAAACAATTTTGAACTTCTCAATAAACTAATCAGTAGAACAGATGATGAAACATGTACACTGATTATTAAACTGTTTGTTCTGCTTTCTGTAATCTGTTGTAGAATGATTCATTTATATTGACAATATTCATTTATATTGACATAATTCATTTATATTGACAATAAATTTTATTCTACAAATAATATATAAAGTTAATGTTACATGTATTAGTTTATTTAAAACTAATTTATTTTTTTTATTCTGGTCTTCTTACAGGAACAATATATGCACAACCATATCCAAATGGTATACCATGGCAATTAAGAGTATTATCTTAATTTATAACAGATGTTGAATAATAAAATCTAATTTAATACTTTAACTGGTTTCACGACAAGAACATAATGTTTCAAAACTAGTACTTTCTGTTTAACAGTTATATATAGTTTTGAAAATGCTGCTTTCTTTTTGTGGGACCACAGACTATTTTATAATTACTATATTTATCAAACATAGCTATTTTTCATTAAAAAACATTTCAAAAGTGTTACATTTATAAAATTTTTATAAATTTTCAACTGGGATGTGTGTCTCCACACACCCCACAAATAAAAAACTTATATATGAATAGTGTATGAATATCATGATTTAGTTCGTATAAACAAGAAATACTAATGGAGCCAATCCAGTACCAATTAAGACAAATATTATTTATTTTGAAAAATTTTGACTTTCATAATTAATGCAATTGCTTAAAATTCAAATGCAGCATTATCCATTTGACACCGTTAACCATCAGATTTTATTAGAAAAACTAAAATATTATTGAATAAGCCACGAATACCATAAATGGTTTACCAGTTACTTAACTGATCGAAAGCAGTTTATTTCTCTTAATAATGGCTTTCAGACAAACAAACTTAAAATATCATGTGGGGTTCCACAAGGCTCCATCTTAGGTCCGTTGCTATTCTTAATCTATGTCAACGATCTATATAAAGCATCAAATACTATGTCTACTATTATGTTTGCAGACGACACCACTTTATTCTATTCTCACAGTAATATTATCTCTCTATTTCAAGTAGCAAATAATGAACTAGAACAAATATCAAACTGGCTTTTTGCTAACAGCTTATCTTTAAACACTGATAAAACTGAGTTTTCCTTATTCCATTCTAAACGAAAGTTTCAATCTATTCCAAAATCCTTACCAATGCTATATATAAATAACATCAATATTGAGCGCTCATTCACAAATAAATTACTTGGTATTTTAATAACTTATCCTGGAGAGCTCATATAAATCATATTAGCAATAAAATCTCAAGAAGTATTGGCATCTTATATAAAACCAGACGAATCTTAGACAAATCTACACTAACTCAACTATATTTTGCATTTATAAATAGTTATTTATCTTATGGCAATATTGTTTGGGGTAGTACAAATAAATCTAAACTCGACTGTCTCCTTAAACAATAGAATCATGCAGCACGCATTATTCATTTTCAAAATCGCTTCACAAATGCTAAACCTCTTCTAAAAAGCATGAGGGCACTTGATATTTATGAGTTAAATATTTTCAAAATTACACAATTTATGTTTCAACATCAGTCAAAAAAAACGCAGAAGGTTTGCGAAAATATTTTCCATAAAACATTAAACCGATACAACATGCGATCTACCGGAAGATTTAAAAAACCTTTCCGTTCATCAAAACTAACGAGCTTTGCCATTTCCTATCGTGGCCCAATTCTATGGAACCATTTTACAAGTTTGAGTGGTAAACTTAAAGAAGCCAATACCTCTCAAAAATTTCAAAAGAACATAATTGAACTTATTGCCAACCACAATTCTTTACATGATTTTTTCTAACAATACACGATTATTTCCATTTTTTATTATCAAAGGTTACTGATGAAAAGACCTTATCTTCTTCAGGTTCTCCGGTCTTGTAACTATTATAAATAATGAAATGTACTTGTATTTAATATTTCTAAATATTTTACGGAAATTATCTTTAATTGTAAATGGTTGCTTGACAAAAATTGAAAAAAAAAAAAAAAAAAAAAAAAAAAAAAAAATTATCCGATCCTCTCAATTCAGTTTTTATGCAGTATTTTAGTTAATTCGCAAAATTTAATTTTTTATATAAAAAACCACCAACCAAAATTTAATTAGATTGAGCATAAGTGACACGATATGAATTTTTGGTTTAAATAATGAATACAGAATTGACATAACATACGAAAACCTAAAGAGCAAGCCAAAAAAATGCTGATACAGAAAAGATCCTAGTTATAAATAATTGTAAAATGTAATTTTTTGCATAAAAGTAGTATAAACAATAAACTTATGCTAAAATAATTAGATCAAGGTATCTAATTAAAAAAAAATTTAAACAATAAAACAATTCCTATTTATTGTTTAAACATCTTGAATTAATATTAATTTAAACTAATTAAGTCAGAGCTTTGTATACATGTTTTCAGTACTTAAATAAAAAATCTTACTTTAGAGCGGTTATTTCGTAAAAACTGTAACAAATCTCCATTTTCCATGTACTCAACAATTAAACATAATGATTTTTCTATGCTGGAAAAACCAATCATACTGACAATATTTTTATGATATCCAGTCTCTTTCATAAGATTTATTTCCTCAATAAAATCATACAACTCTGATTGATTTGCACCATCTTTATATTGGAAGCCAAACAAATTATATATATTATATATATATATATATATATATATATATATATATATATATATATATATATATATATATATATATATATATATATATATATATATATATGTATATGTATATATACATATATATATATATATATATATATATATATATATATATATATATATATATATATATATATATATATATATATATATGTATATATATATATATATATATATATATATATATATATATATATATATATATATATATATATATATATATATATATATATGTATATATATATATATATATATATATATATATATATATATATATATATATATATATATATATATATATATATATATATTAATATTTATATATATATATATATATATTTATATTTATATATATATACAAAATAAAAACAAATGTAAAAAAGAAAAAAAAAACCTAATCTGATGATGATATTTTTTGTTTTCATTCTTTTTAAAATTTGTTTAGGTATTGTTCATAAATTACGTACCGCAAACTTTTATAATAAACAAAACTAAAAAGATCAAAGGTTTTCCCTCGCAGGTAATCCACTGTTATTTTGGGTGGTAGCCCTCTTATCTAGTAATCCAAAATTCAACTTGCAATTTCAATACTTACAAGTATGAGCAAGACGCAATAATCAAAGATTTAAAAAAGTTAATAGAAATTTTAAGAATGGATAATGCAAACTTGACTATGAAAGTTCTTAATTTAGAAAATTCTACATTAAAATTCAGTCCAGCAGTGACAGGTGATTGGGCTAGTAAACTAAAAAAGTCTCTAGATCAAATAAAATTAATAATTTTATCGCAAATTTAACCAAATAAAGAGATAAAAAAGAAATTAACTTGGTTATTTTTGGTTAAGAGGAATCAGCATTAAGTGAAAAAGTCAAAGCAATTGAAGAAGATAAACAATCAAACAGTATTAAAACAATCATGCAAAAGTTGAAGATCAACGTCAAAATCAAAAATGTTATCGAATTAAAGTCACAAAAATGTATATAAAGCTTCATATATTGTTGTTGACTCATGGAGGAGGTGTTTTTTTTTTAAATGTTTTAATCAGTTTAAAACAAATAGTTTACTAATAATCGATAATTTTATTAAACAAATATAGACTTGTATATGTTTTGTAAATAAAAAAAAAGGTAATAGGATGCATTTATAGACTACCATATATGGTACAATAACTTTGTTTTAATATCTCATTAATACAATAACTTTGTTTTACTATCTATTAATTCTGCTAAAACGAGTATTTATCAGAAAGAATACAACAATCTTATTTTTACAACTATAATACAATAGATTGGTCAATACAATAGATTGGTATAAAAGTTACTATTGGTATTTAATAATATAATAGATTGGTATAATACATTAGATTGGTTTATTAATTGTCCTTTTTCAGCAATTGATAATATATCTCAAACTAATAAATTTATTGAATGTCTTGAAGATTGTTTTCTGTTACAATGTATATGTGAACGATTATTCCAAATAGCAAACTACAAATCAACTAATATTCTAGACCTTATTATAACAAACGATAAAAACAGAAATGTTTTTTTTACTTACTCAGCTCCTTTAGGGAATGTTAAACAAGAGCATCATTTATAAAAGTTACCTAATGAATGATCTTAAGTCTTTTAATGAACATAAGAAATCCATTAGATTATATCAAAAAGGATATTATGAATTATTTTTAAGTCATTTCAATCGTCTGGATTGGGAAAATGGATTTTAAAGTAAATCTATACATGAAATGTATGATTTATTTTTGTGTCATAACAATTATGAAACTAATCTATTTATCCCACGAATTAGTTATCAAAATAGAAGGAATAGAAACAAATATTACTCCTGAATTGAAACATAAAATAAGAACTAAAAACAATATGTAAACATTATGGCTGCAATGACGAGTCAACAAAAACTCAGTATAATAAGTTAAAAATTAGAATAAAAAATGATATTAGAAACAATATAAAACAATTAAAAAGTACTATAGCTAACAAGTTTAAACCAAATCCAAAATTGCTTTATAAATATATCAATGAGAAAAAATCAGTGAAAACTCAAATTCGAGCTCTGGAAATTGAAAATGTGAAAATTATAAACAATCAATTCGATATAGCTACTGAACTAAATAAATATTTTCATTTTGTGTATGTTAATGATAATGATGCAAGTAATATAGAGTTTCATAATATGCCTTCACATTTGTTATTTAACATAGTTTTAATAACACAAAATGATGTTCAAACTAGACTTAAAGCACTTGATATATCGAAATCGGTCGACTTTGATTTTGTTCATCCTTATGTTTTGAAAGAATGTAGCTAGTCTATATCATACCCATTATATTTAGTGTTCAAAAAATTGATGGAAACAGCTACCCTACCAGATATGTGGTTAAATCTCATATTTTACATTTATTCCGAGTTTATTTTTATAATTAATGTTAATTTTGTTTATACATAAATTACATAGCGACATAAAGTTACATTTAGAAAATCTCAGCAAAAACAACAATAAATGTCGTTTAAATACAAAAGATATTGATCGCAAGCGTTTGCACACTGATATGGCAACAAACAATACCAATATATTTTTTTATTTTAGTCATAAAGTGGTATTTTAACTATGATTCGTTCAAACAATTAAATTTGCTTTTACATTTTTATTTCAAGCAAGCAGTGAATTCATTTTTTAAAATTAAAACAAACAGGTACTTGAATTTTTTTAAATTTGTAGCACCTGTTTGTTGTAATGAATAAAAATTCTTGTTATTTAACGTATTTAATTTACGTTTTAAATTAAAGCAAGCAGTAATGTAAGGATATCTAATTTCCTTGTTAAATATTTCAAGTAGCAGTTTGTTATAATCAAAAAACTTTTTTTTTATTTAACTTCATATTTCAGAGGTCTTTTGAAAAAGTTAATCGAGAAAAGATATAGATAAGTAAAAAATGATTTTAGTCAATGGAATCACGTAAATTGATATAACGTTGATATTCAGTTGATATAAAATACCAAACAAAAAAAGATTAACAATAGAAAAAAGACTTGCCGTAATATTTGTAATTGATCAAAATTTTGAAAGTATCTGAGGTAGACGACTTCTTTATATTTTTGTTGACAAAGCATATTTACTACTTGAAGTAGAGTTAGCAGTAAGACTTAATAAATTATTTTACTTTTTAGCTAAAAAGGGCAAAACTTTTTAAAAAATAGCATTTGCAGGTATTAAACCAAACAAGTTTGTTATTTTTTTAGATTGTACTCTATTTCTTGCTAACTTTTTTATATAACAACAAATCCCTAAAATTGCTAGGAAAATCCCAATTCTTAAAAAGTTTTTTCCAAGAGACATTTTCGCCGTTTTACAATGCGTAGTTATACCTATAACGACGACTTCAAGTTTTACACAATAAATAAATTAGCTTTTTTTATGTTATTTTTCTATTAGCTTTTCAAAATAATTAATTTTTAATAATTTTAAGAATTGTTAGTAAACTTAAATTTGGCAAACCCTATTTGTTTTAAGGGACGTTTTTACCTTATTAGGAATTTAAATTTTTTAAGCATTTATGAATGCTACATTTGACGGGGCCCCACAGGGCTAATGTATTGTAATAAATGATGTAAAAAGAACTGGTGACAAGAACTTAATAAATAAAATAAAATCTAAAAAAAAAAAAAAATGGAGAAAACCTTTTAAAACTTTAACTGCAACATCAACATCACTTTTTATCACACATTGACCATCAGCAAACGAACTGCTTCGAGATTTACTGAAATACTTTGTTTTGGCAAGAACGTTTGCATTAATCTTTCCAACAAAAACATAACCAAATGCTCCTTCTCCAATTTTTTTTTCTAAAATAATGTTTTTGTAAGAAATCTTCCATTCATGAGGAGAAACCTTGTAGTACTCCTTGGAGCTTCTAAAAAAAAATCTTGCAAAACAATTTTTTGCTACAGACGTACAACAACAACAATAATAATAATAAAAATAATAACAATAATAATAATGATAAAAATAATAAAAATAAAAATAATAATAATATATTTTCTGTAAGAACAATATATACATTGTTGCAGAGTATACTGTAATGTTATATCAACTGTTAATGTTATAAACTTTCGAAATTAGTTTTAAAACAATTTAAGGACCTTGAATATAAAACATACTTTGGCAAAGAATTCCAGTTTTTAATTATTCTTTTGTGGAAAAAGTTATTTTTTGAGGAACACTTAAAGTTTTCATGTTTAATTTTTTTCCTGTGTCCACCTACGTTTGATGAAGAGCTGCCGCTTGTTATTAAAGAAACCAGTCGGAATTTTTGAACCAATTCACAATTTGTAAGCCATATGTTATTTTATATTGGTAAATCAAATCCTTCCTAGTTCTGCGATTTTCTAAAGTTGTCTTCATATGAAAGATTTTTGAGATCTGAAAAGAGTTTTATGGCTTTTCTTTAAACCTTTTATACCAAAGTCTCTTTCTAATTTTATTTCTTGATTTTCGTTACTTCCACTTGTGTCGTTAATTGTATACTTGTATGATATATTTTTAGCAACAAATAGATAATTTTATATATTTTTTCTTTATTGAGTTTCATTCCCCAGATATTACACAAGTTTATTTCTTTATTAATGTCAGTTTGATTTGCTGCTTTTAAAAAATTTTATCATATTCAATATCTGATATTAATTTGATGTCATCAGCAAGTAATTTACACTTACAAGTTAAAAGGATAGGTAAATCGTTTATGTATATAATAAAAAAAAAGTCGACCAAGTGCTGAACTTTGCGGCACTCCACTAAATAGGTCACACCAGTTAAATAAATTTTCCCCTATAATAACCTTTTACTTTCTACTGACAAAAAGTGTTTGATAGCTAGCAATTTCCCTTTAATGTTATAGGCTGCTAAATTTTTAATTAACCGTTTATGTAGGACTTTTTCAAAAACTTTTTCAAAAATCATGTATAAGTCAACCTCCTTACCATCATAAACAGTACTCGCAATGATGTCCAATCATTTAAGTAAGATTGTGGTGGGTGGTTTTTAATTGACAAATCCATGCCGTTTAAAAATCAAATGCAATTTTATTAAATGAGTCAATATAAATTTATAATGTGATATATAATTTATAAATTATTATAAATTTATAATAAATTAATAATGTATATATATATATATATATATATATATATATATATATATATATATATATATATATATATATATATATATATATATATATATATATATATATATATATATATATATGTATATATATATATATATATATATATATATATATATATATATATATATATATATGTATATATATATATACATATATATATATATATATATATATATATATATATATATATATTTATATATATATATATATATATATATATATATATATATATATATATATATATATATATATATATATATATATAAATTATTAGAAAATCACTTAACAACATATTTTTTCATTTAACATTGTGTTTCATCATAAAGACTCATCAGAAAAGATTTCTGATGCGTTTTTAATGATAAAACACAGAGTTAAATGAAAAAATAAAATTGTTAAGGGATTTTCTAATAATTTACAATTGCTCTTTTCTTTTAAGAACACTGAGGACTTTTGTAGAATACAATTTAAAATTGTTTAAAATTCTTCAAGAATTACGCCTAATCAGGGACAGGTTTAGGGTGTTAAGTGTTACTCTATTTTAAATGTATCTAAAATAATAAATGTTATTCTGCTTATTCATTAAAAAAATGTTCGCGTAATGTATTTCTTTTTTTTAATTTACGATTTTCTTCATACGCCTTGCATAGCAGTCACAAAGTTTTTCTTAACTTTTGTAGAATACATTTTAAAATTGTTTAAAATTCTTCAAGAATTATTTTTTAAATGATAGACTGCCTGCCCAAACCAAACCCTCAGTCGATGTAGAAGCACTCCCATGCAAGTCAGGCTATTTGTCAGTCGATGTAGCAGCACTCCCTTGCGAGTCAGGCTATTTGTCAGTCGATGTAGCATCACTCCGTTGCGAGTCAGGCTATAAGATAGTCAATGTAGCAACACTTACACATGTTTTAAAAATGTTTTTTAATAAAACTAAAACAAAAACACCACTAATTAAAAAAAACTTTCTAGTCATTATTATAGCGGTTTTTTTTAAAAATTTTATGTACTTCCGCATTAATTTAATTGCTTTGACATTTCGACAACAATAAAATGCAGCTTAAGAGACGAGGTAAAAAAATTGTAGTCGAAAGAGACTTTTTTTACCATAAAAGTCTCTTTCGACTACACTATAAGGATATATATATATATAAATTTATGTATAAATATATATATATATATATATATATATATATTTATATATATATATAATATATAAATAAAGGTTGGATTAAATAAATTGATACTTTTTATTTCTTATAATTAGGACGCTAAAAAATCATACAGAATGTTATCATACAAAAAAACAATTATCTATGTATTAGTACTTTAGTAAAAATATTTTTCTTATGAAAAATTTGATTATTATTCAAAATGGCTACAAATCAGCAACAAGTGCGTGATGCATTTTGCACGCTCGAATGGAAATTCCTAATTGTCTCTAAAATCGATTGTAAAAACTAATGGATATTCTAAAAGCACTGTGATTAGCACTAAATATGTATTTGACAATTAATACAATAAATGGAAAGCCTGGAAGTGGCAACAACTTGAACATTAACAAAACACTGAAGACGAATGTTTTGGCAAAAATAAAGGCAAATCCTAACATTTCTGAGCAAGATTTGGCACTAAAATGCAAAACTAACAGACAAGTGGTTCGAACTATCAAGAAAAAGCATAAAATCAAGTCCTTCAATATGTATAAAGCCCCAGATTGCAGTGCTGAAGAAAATTTATTGTCAAAAAGTTGTGCAGGAAAATTATACAAATTACTTTGTGTAGAAAATAAAAGTATAATTATGGATGATAAAACTTATGTGAAATTAAATTTCAAAACGATTCCATGACATCATTTTTATATGGGAGCCTCAAGGAAAAAGGTAAAAGCTAAATATAAAACAATAAAACTAAAAACATTTCCCTAAAAAATTATGGCTTAGTAATCCAAATGCCAATGTGGATTAAAAGTACAAAGTTTTCGTCACTAATTCCACACTAAACAGTGAAATTTATCAAAAAGAGTGCCTTAAAAAGCGTTTATTTCCACTGTGGAATGCCCTTTTGGCCAGCGCTTTGTCATTACTCTGAATCCACGTCAAACTTCAATGCCAATAGTATTGATTTTATAACTAGAACACACAAATTGTCCTGAACTTCGTCCAATAGAGCTATATCGGGCGATTATAAAAGCCAAATTACGTAAGAGGTTTAGGCAAGCAAAATCAAGCACTGACATTAAGAAGAAGTGGGACAAAACTACTACAGAGTATGGATCTCATCTAGTACAAAATCTTATGAGTCCCATCAAGAGAAAAACTAGAAAGTTATAAGAAATTTATTTCTTTTCTTTATTTATTTTGCTCTAGACTTAATAAACCTTCATTAAAAAAAAATAAAATTGACTTTGTAGCTCATTCCAATCTTTTTTAATTCAAGAAATAAAAAGCGTCAGTTTTACATAACCCAACCTTTATATATATATATATATATATATATATATATATATATATATATATATATATATATATATATATATATATATATATATATATATATATATATATATAAATACGTCAGATGTCATTCTACAGTAATTTTTACGTTTTTGTAACAATTTGTTTACGTTTTTTGTTTGTATTAACAGCTGATGATTGCCTTCGGGCATGAAACTTTAAGTCCCGCTAATCAGCTGTTTTTATTTATCTAAATATAATTATATATAGCTCTATTATTCAGTAATATTGAGCACTGTAATACGTACAAGAGACTTCGTATTATTACATCAAAATACTTAACCTCAAATATATTCTATATATCGAAATCTATACAAATATGTATATATATATGTGTGTGTGTGTGTGTGTGTGTGTGTGTGTGTGTGTGTGTGTATGTGTGTGTGTATTTACATAAACATACACACATCACCATTAAAGCAACAGTTTACTGAACAAGCTTTAACAACTCTAAAAATTTTTTTTTACCCCTCTTTTTTTTATTTAAGATACATATAGGAATTTTTTTTTAGAAATTGACGATTGCGCTCCTCCACTTTGAAACCTGTGTCATCGGCGATCAAAACTAAACTAAGGTTTTCTCAGTAAATTGTTTTGAGTTCTTACATTACATTTATAAGCTTCATTAATGCAAATATAACAGAATACAGTCCTAATACTAACATCTCAGAATACATTGATGTGCACAATTTTAACAATATATTTATTCCTTATGATGTTTCTGTATAAGCCTGGTGATAAAATTAAAATTCTCAGTTTGAAAAAACTTACGCATAAATAAAATGATTTGAATTCTCAAATATTAGACTTGTTTTTTTGTTCTTAAGAATTCTCAAAACCACAGCAGCAACAACAACCATAATAGGAGCTACAACTGCTGCCAAGATAATATATATTTTTTCTAAATACAAAATTAAATAAAAAATTCTTGATACAATACAATTAATGCTAAAATGAAATATTGAAAACAAAAAACAAACAAACAAACAAAAAAGTAAAAAAATAAAAAACAAAAAAAAAGACAACATAACATTTACAAACTCTGATCCCAACGCTAACCCTGCATTTAGGATTGATCACACGTAAATCATGTTCAATTGGCAGGTTACTCACATATAAATCTGATGTTATTCTCATGGTTTTAAAAAGTTAATAAACAAATCTTTTTTCAGAAATAGATAAAATGAAAAAAGATTTTGGTGTCAACTTTGAAGTTTTCAAAACAACAAAAAGAGAAAGTGATTATAACTCTGATTAACCAATAAAAAAATTGACAAAAATCATTTTTAAATTATAACAAGTTTATATAATAGAAATTCAAATAGTTTAATTTAAATAAATAAAGGAGTATAGAAAAAAAATAAGTTATAATACCAGTAAAAACAATTGGTAAGCTTACAAAAACAAAAAAAATTAAATTAGAAAAATGTTATGAAAAAAAAAATTAAATTGTAAATGCATTTTGAAAAATTTATGAAAAAGTATAGACTTACTATATCCAAAAACACTTTGCATTGCTAAAAAAGAGAAAAAAATAATTACTAACATCTCTCATAAAAAATTTTGATTCAATTAAAAGATTGTAACTAATAACATTAAGGGGATTTTTGTTGGTTATTAAGCAAGAATAAAAAAAATTAACAAAATAATCAAACAATAAAAAAATCAACAAGCAGCATCAAAAGTAAACATGAGATTTGGAAAGCTTTAAAAAAACGTTTAGAAGCAGAGATCTGCTATTTTGTAATATGTTCAAAACTACTAATGTTAGACCACATATAGAATTTGCTATCCAAAAGTGGTCACCTAAAATTAAACAGGACATAAGAAGACTATATATATACATATGTATATATGTATATATATATATATATATATACAACTAAATACTGATTTATATATACTGATAACATTACAACTAAATACTGATATATATATATATATATATATATATATATATATATATTTATATTTATATATATATACATATACATATATATATATATATATATATATATATATATATATATATATATATATATATATATATATATATATATATATATGTATATATATATATATATATATATATATATATATATATATATATATATATATATATATATATATATATATATATATTATTATTATTATTATTATCATTGTTATAAATATATTTCAGCAGGCATATTTAGGTGCCAGGTCGATAGTTTTACAATTTTAAACTTTGATTAAGTGAACGCATGGAGTTATTCTCTAAGAAACAAGCTATTAACTGTTTACAATGAGATCATCAGTTAGGTCATTTTTAATTATATGGCCAAGATTTTTAAAAGATTCAACAAAAGCAATTTTATAGCCTGACATGCATAACTCTGGAAAGTAGTTTGATATAATTTTTGATTTTTGAGTTAGGTTAAACAAAATACATACAGTTTTCTTTGTGTTAAAGGACATGTTAGTTAAGGAAGATTCCTTATTTGTAAAGCTAGTTAGTTTTTGAAGAGAAGACCAAGATAGTGCAATTAAAACCATATCATCAGCGTAAGCCAACAGATTTATGAAGAAGCCACCTATATTACATCCAATACGTAGGTTTCAGATTGATAAAATCAGATTGTGTATGTAAAAGTTAAACAGAAGTGGTGACTACTACATTGACGAACCCCATATCCAACTCCAAAACTATTTTATTTTATTATCTGCCATCGAAAAAACATTTGTTGATTACTATACCAAAATGCAAAAAAACCAACAAGTTTTTTGGGTAACCCATTATCTAGTAACTTCTGAAACAATAACCAGTAATTGACACTGTGAAATGCTTTATTAAAGTCTATGAAACAAGCAAATACATGGCTTTCTCTAGATGTATAGTATAATAGCCATTTTGTATAATTTCCATGTGTAGATAGAGTGGTACGTGTACGGATTTTAATAGACTTTACTTTTTCTTCATATCGCGTCAAAGTGGCTTTGTCACAAATTTGCCAGTTAGGAGATTTAGTTGACATATAAGAATAAGATTTGCTGTTATTTATTAAAGACGAGTTTGCTAATGAGCAAGAAATCAGAAACGCTAATGGTTTATGGTCTGATGCAATAACATTATTTAAAACTGATATAGACATAATTAGATTATCAATAATTGGATTGCATAGAATGTGGTCCAACCACAAAGAAATAGATCCAACATGGTTGGATCGTATGCTCTTGTTAAAATACAAAATCGTATTTATAACACAAATCTTTAATTGCAAAAACACTATTTTTAAAAGAACGACAATTGAATAAACAAAATGATAAACTGTTGCTATGGACCATTTTTGGGTTTAAAATATCTTCCTACCAATAGACCCTTAGGCCAAGCATCAGTAGACATTAAACAAACAAGTTTGTTTTTTAACTGAGAGTAATCCACAATTACACTTTACAGAGTCATCATTTTCAATTTTAAAAAATATCATAAGTGCAATCAATTACCTCATTTTCTGTTGTAGAAGAATTTAATCCAGAGACAAATAAGTCAATATTTTGCTTATCTAAAGACATTGGTTTCAGCCTATTAATTCCAAAGAACTGATGTCAGAGGAAAAAAATTAGATAAATACGAATATTTGGAGTACTTATGAACTATTACAGTAAAAGTATATGACTTTATAAAGTGATAAGAATGAATTTAGTATATAACTCAAAAGAGACTAGCTATTTAGAGCAGTGCCCATTATAATATTTATAGTGAAGAGAAAAAGAAGAAAGACTGCAACAATGCAATAATTGTCGGAGGTTGACTGCAAGAGCAGGTTCAACTATGTTAACGCTGCATTTTTACAACTTGTCTGAAAAAGAAAAGCATCATCGGAAGATCCGACACAGAATTGGCAAGATAATTCCAAAGAAGGAAAGCTTTGAGATTTATAGAGATAAAGAGTAGAATACAGAGCAAGAAATTGGTAAGGACGATAGAAAGATTAGCAGATGCTAATTTTGCTATTGATTTGATATATTTCCAAAAAAGATCAAAATTAGGAGTTAATCCTAAAAGATGAAAGTAGATGACTATTTGAAGACATTATCATTCTTAAATATAGGGAGATCTACATTTTGTTTACAGCTAATACAGAACATTCTAGAACCATTGCACAAAGTCCATGTTATTTTTTAACATTGAATCATGCGAAAAAAATAAATGGAAAACAATGGAAAAATATGTCAACTAATGACTGTTTCGACAATACAATGAGCTGCTTCGATAGAGCTGAGATTTTATTTATTTATTTATTTTTTTGTTTGTTTAGATGCCCCGAAAAGTCCGTTAGGTCTTCTTGGGGCACCTAACGCAAAAATAATTAAGTTTTTCGAGCTGGTAAGTCTGTTTATAATAAATTCATTATCAGAAGCTGTTACCAACAACGATACAGGCTATTACCAAAATGACGGTCTAATAGTGAAGCGTAAAAAATTGGCCATACAGTTAGAATAAATGAAAAAAACCATAACAAAAATTAAAAAAATATATTGACTTTTATATAGAAATTAGAACAATCCTATCAAATTTTAATTTTATAGCTGTAACTTTTTTTTTGAAAAAGACTCATATTATCCTTTTAAAAAACCAAACAGCAACCTACTTTACATCCATACCGAGTCTGATCATCCTCCATAAGTTATTAAACAAACTCCAAATGTAATTTATAAGTGCCCAATTCCCAAACACACCTAACAAAATCTATATAGGTTCAACAGAAGGAATCTGGAAAATTAGATATAGGGTAGAGCGGGGGGCATATAGGGAAACTTAAGAAACAGTTGCGGATAAACTAATCATAGTTAACACTGTTTTTTAAAAATTTCCAAAAACTTATTGATATAAGAAAATAAAAAAACAAAAAAAAAATTTATAAAAATAAGTTATGACAACTAAAGTAACAAAACTCTAGACTAGCAAAACTTTTACATTTTGCAAATAGGTGGGGCAAAACGGGACAGTTAAAAAGCATCAGTTATTCGTCAATTGTAAAGTTTTAAAAATGATGAAAAATGAAGGCTATCTATTGCTTAAATATGTTCAGCCATTAAACTTTCAAAAAAGTAACATATCCATAAAAACTACATGCCCATAGACCCATACACCACAAAAAAGAAATAACCCATACACAACAAAAAAGAAATAAAATAAAATATTTTTTGTGTGTGTTTTATTATAAAATACCTCCGCTCTACTCTAACCTATATTATTAAATTGGTAGTTGCTACTAAATTTGAAATTAAACAAAAAATTTTATGTATCACATAAATCACACAAAGAATATCCTGAAACTGTTCAGCAACATTTTTGATGAGCTGGCGTATTAGCAATATGCCAATGTAGAGCAAACTTAAATACGCCATATGTATCAGCAGCTTTTCTAGTTCTAAGTTCTTTTTACTCACACTAAAACTGAATTTCATCCCGTTTTGGATGGTTGATCTTTCTTATATAATTTCTTACCTTCTCTATTTATATTAAACACTATTTATCATCGAAGTTAAGTTATAAAAATAAGAAATTCTTTAAATTTATTTCTAAAATTGATTCTAAATAAAAAAAAACAATACTTTAAATTAAAAATAAAATAATCAATCTGTAAACAGCATTGCGAAATAGTTGTATTATACTCAATTATGTAAATACTAGTGTTGTCCTGATATGCCCCACAAAAGTCAATTTACTGAAAATAATACTATTTTAAAAGTTCAATTCCAAATTTTATTTTCAAATCAGATTCTAAAAGAGTATAAAAAATACTGTCTAAAAAATATAAACTTTTTATAAACAAAGCAAATTCGCAAGAGTTCAAGATAAATCTTTTGTCGCTGTATCGCTTAAGAAAATACGAAAATTTTGTTCTTCGCAAACTTACTGATGCATTTTGGTACTTTTAATGCATTTTGGTATTTCTAAAATCAAATTTTTTTTACAATAACAAAGCAAAATAACTTATAATGATTTGTCAAAAAAAATTTTGAAAAAAGTTATTTTCGGCTGAGATATAAGGCTTCAGGCATAACTGTCCCGTTATGCCCCGCTGTCCTACTCTACCCTACGAACCAAATTTCGCCAAGTGAACAAAGTTTTGCTGGATAACCACAAACCAAAAGGATTTTGCATATTTTTCTTATACAGAATTATATTCTACAAAAAAAAATTGCGTTTACCTGATGAATGAAATCATTGATAAAATGTATACAAATCAATGTTATAAATATTTTTTAAAAGTTTATGAAAAAGCTAGCAAACAATAAATTCCTCACCACTCTAAACCTACTTGTTTTTTCCGAAATACATGCATTAATAAAAAAATCAAGAATTTAATTAGAAAAAAACGTAGTTTATGGTGCAGAGTGCGTGCTACAAACTTAATTAAAAAACCAAATTAAAAAATCTACTCTTGATTATGAAATAAACTTAGCAAAAAATGTAAAACATAACCCAAAACGCTTCCATGCATATGCACAATGAAAAAATCAAACACAT